AAAAAGTGAAATATATGATGATGATTTATACCCCTTGAAATAAAAATGGATTTTAGAAATGATTTTTAGAGAAGAGAAATGCAGAGGGGGGGGGGGGGGGGGGAGGAGTGTAGGGGAAGTGGAAGTGGGATATAGATAAATTATGTCAATAAGAATATATTGATTTGATGTCTTTTTTTTTATAGAAATAGGTGTTTGTGATTTGTATTCGGATGAAAATTAAATCTTTATAATAATAATAAAAAAAAAAAAAAAAATACCCCCTAATCTCCTCTTCTCAAGAGAAAATAAATTCAGTTCCTTTAATCTTTCCTCATAGCGGAGCTCCTCCACTCCATGCCTCTTATCAGTTTGGTTGCCCTTCTCTGCAATTTCTCCAGTTCCCCAATGTTCTTTTTGTGAATTGGTGCCCAAAACTGAATTGCATATTCCAGATGAGGTCTTACTAATGATTTGTACAGGGGTAAAATTATATCTCTGTCTCTGGAGTCTATACCTCTTAATACAAAAGAGGATTGTGCTCGCTTTAGAAATCACAGCTTGGCATTGCATGCCATTATTAAGCTTGTGATCTACCAGAACTCCCAGATCCTTCACCATTGATTCCCCCAATTGTACTACCCCTGGTATGTATGATGCATGCATATTCTTAGTCCCCAAGTGCATCACCTTACATTTATATCAATAAATCTCATTTGCCACAGTTGCCTATTTAAACAGTGCATTGAGGTCAGCTTGTAAGTTGGAGATATTATGTAAGGACGTTATTCCACTGCACAGCTTGGTGTCATCTGCAAAGACTGAAACAATATTTTTAACCCCAGACCAGATATCGTTTATACATATATTAAAAAGGATCCCAACACTGAACTAAAAACCCTAGACCATTCAGAGTATGAATCATTAACCACTACTCTCTGAATATGATCTTTTAGCCAGTTTTCTCTACATTTACATACAGATTTTTCCAAGCCTGTAGACTTTACCTTACACATTAGCCACGTGTGGAGAACTGTGTCAAAAGCTTTTGCAAAATCCAAGTATACCACATCCACCCCTCTGTCCAAGGTTTGCTCACCTCCTCATAAAAAGAAATCAGATTTTGAACGGAGATATTATCAGTTAAGACATTGTGTTAGGAAGTTGCCACAACCACTGAGGATGGAGGAGGACTTGCGCCCATTTGAAAAGATACTAGGTTCTAGTATGGCTCCAAAACATGTCACTTCTGGGATATGGTGGAGGGGAGGGGGGATTTAGGTGAAATTGTTCTTTTTTTGGATAAAAATGATATTGCTGGGTTTTTGTAATGAGAAATTTAATAAAAAAATATATTAAAAAAAATCTGATTCGTTTGACAACTTCTGTCTTTTATGAATCTATGATGTCTGTTGCAAAAAATATTTTTTTTTCCAGCAAAAACTCATCTATGTGGTCTTTTATTAAACTCTCCAGTATCTTCCCAACTATAGATGTTAGACTAACAGGTATACAATTACTTGGTATAAACTTTTTGCGCCTTGACTACTGTAACTCCCTCCTCATTGGCCTACCTCATCACAGGCTATCCCCCATCCAGTCTATCATGAACGCTGCTGCCAGACTCATCCACCTCACTAAACGTTCTGTATCCGCCACCTCTCTCTGCCATTCCCTCCACTGGCTCCCAGTTGCCCAACGAATAAAATTCAAAACTCTAACAATGACATATAAAGCCATCCACAACACTGCCCCAATTTACATAACCGATCTTATCTCTAAATATCACCCAAACCGTACTCTCCGCTCCTCGCAAGACCGGTTACTCTCTAGCTCCCTTATGTCCTCCTCCCATGCTCGTCTCCAACACTTCTCCAGGGCGTCACCCATCCTCTGGAACTCCCTACCCCAATCAGACTATCACCTACTCTACTTGCCTTTCGGCGATCACTGAAAATCTCTCTATTCAGGGAAGCCTATCCCGCCCTCTGCTAATTCTGGAATCCTCCACTCTTCCAACCACTCCATCCCCCACAGTGACTACCTACTGTACCATTCACCCCTCCCTCCTAGATTGTAAGCTCCAAGGAGCAGGGCCCTCAAATCCCTCTTGTATTGAACTGTATTCTCTCCCACTATAATGTAAAGTGCTGAGCAAACCGTTGGCGCTATATAAATCCTGTATAAGAATAATAACTTTGATCCCTTTTTAACCAATTCAATACCGTGCAATTTTACACCTTCCTGCCCAGGCCATTTTTCAGGTTTCAGCGCTCTCACAATTTGAATGACAATTGCGCGGTCATACAACATTGTACCCAAACTAAAATTTTATCATTTTCTTCACACAACTAGAGCTTTCTTTTGGTGGTATTTAATCATTGCTGGGGTTTTTATTTTTTGCTAACAAAAAGACCGAACATTTTGAAAAAAAAAAAAAAAAAAAACAAAAAAAAAACAAAAACACGTTTTTCTTTGTTTCTGTTATAAAAGTTTGCAAATAAATAATTGTTCTTCATAAATTTAGGCCGAGATGTATTCTACTACATGTCTTTGGTGAAAATAACCCAAATTATTATGTATTTTTTAGTTTGTAGGAAAGTTATAGAGTTCACAAACTATGGTATAGATCTGAATATTGATCAATCCTGAAGTACTGACAGCCAATCTAATTTCTTGAGGTCCAAGAATGTCAGAATAGTACAGATATCCCCCAAATGACCCCTTTTTGCAAAGTAGACAGTCCAACATACTTCATAAGAGGAATGGCGAGTTTTTTGAAGTCGTATTTTTTTTGTCATAATTTTTCGGAAAATGAAAAAAAAAAAAATCAAAAAAATTATTTTCACCATTTTTTTTTTACATACCGTCACCAGTGCAGTACAGCGTCATCATATAACTGGCATGGCGGTGATCAGGGACACTGACTGGTGACAGTGTGAAAAAAAAAAAATATATTTTTTTTTATTTTAAATTTATTTTTTTTAAGATTTTTTTTTTCATATTTCACTATGTCCAAAGTAGTACAATGTTACCATAGTAACATTGTACTACTTTGGGGAAGTGATCAGTATTTTTTTTTTTTTTTTTTTTTTTTTACACACAATTTGCTTATAGCAAAGAATTACTTTGCTATAAGCAAGCATTTACCTGAATGACAGATTCATTCAGGGTTTTTTTTTTTTTTTTTGTGCTTAGCTGTGATTTGGCCACAGCTAATCACATGACATGGGCATGTGATTAGCTTTGACCATTCACAGCTAGGCAGTAGTATACAATGGATGGCATGAATGAAGCCATCCATTGTATACACCTTTCATGTGACCTGCTGTGATTGGTCACAGCAGGTCACATGGTACCGGCAACGGGGGGGCCGGTACTCAGATCTGTCATCGGCCGTGTCCGAGGTACACGGCCGGTGACAGATCGCTCTGCAAGCGTGCAAATTGCGCATGTGGACGCCATATGGCGGCCTCCCGGAAAGGTAATACACTTTTGCGGACGCCATTTGGCCATAGGCCGGGCGTCAAATGGTTAAATATAGGCACCACACATTGGCCTTACGCCAATCCAGTGGTACTATGCCAGTCATTAAAGAGTACCTACAAATTAGAAATGATGGCTTTGAAATGACAGAGCTCAATTCTTTAAGGACCCGTGGGTGTATGCCAAATGGTCCAGGTGCTTTATACACACCTGGAGCTGCATACATGCACATTATGGTAGACTTCTCCCTTACTGTGTCCTCATGCAGTGCTATCTGCTGGCATTTTTCTCCTGCAGGTGTGCTCAAGTTACATCCTTGCCCGCACCTGGCTTCATTCCCAGCATTTTACAGATGCTGGGAGCGCACACTGCACCATGCATACCGCAAGACGTGTACACCAAAAAATAAGCAGATTAATGTATTTTTATAAATTTAAGAGCATTAAAAGTGATCCAGTCACCAAAGTAAAACAAATAAAACTAGTGCCTCCTTGTAAAATAAATAGTTTAATAGTTTATTATTAGAGTGGCTATGAGCTAACTCTTTGAATGCCCTGGAGTGGCCCAGACTTGAACCTGATTGAACATCTCTGGAGAGATCTGAAAACGGCTGTGCACCGACGCTCTCCATCCAACCTGATGGAGCTTGAGAGGTAGTGCAAAGAAGAATGAGAGAAATTGCCCAAAAATAGATGTGCCAAGCTTGTAGCAAAAAACTCAAAATGACTTGAGGCTGTAATAGGTGCTAAAGGTGCTTCAACAAAGTATTGAGTAAAGGCTTTGAATACATATGTACATGTGTTTTTTTATTTTTAATAAATTGCAAAGATTTCAAAACCAACTTCTTTCGTGTTGTCATTATGGGGTATTGTTTGCAGAATGTTGAGGAAAATAAATGAATTTAATCCATTTTGGAATAAGGCTGCAACATAAAAAAATGTGGCAAATGGTAAGCGCTGTGAATACTTTCTGGATGCACCATATTTACATGGCCTTGTAGTATATACAGTTCCAGGAACCATGTAGTATCCAGGTGGTGCTCCTCTGGATTCCATTCTCCAACAAGTAGGAGCAATAAAGGTTACATTTCCTGTTAACTTAATTGTAAAGAAAAAAAAAATAATAATAATTGTAGTCAAAATGGATTTTTATTGAGGATTCACATATATGCGGTGCGGTACACTGCATGTGATTCGCACAGGAACAGTAACGCATTCCTGTGCAAATCACATGTGATTTGTGCGCGATGCGATTCGAGCCATACATTTTGCATGGCTCTAATCGCACCACACCAAATAGGTGCAGGACCCTTTCTTTGGTCCGCACTAGAATCGGATTGCATGGGTATTCACACCTATGCGATCAGATTCTACACATCGCATTGCGTTTTGCGGACAGATTTCGAGGTGTTAACATACACACCCGCAGTGGGGTGCGATTCTGATGCGGTGCGGAATACGCACAGAAAATGCTGCAAATTCCAGACCACATCAGTGTAAACCCAGGCTTACAATAATTAGTCTAATAGCGTTTACCTTTTTGCACTTTATCACAGAGTAAAAATATTTCATCTCCTCCTAAACAGGAACCAGAATTCTTGTTAACACGGCAAATCTTCAACTCAGCAGTGTTCGGAGCTCCTAAATAACACAATAAACAAACACAAAGAACAGTGTCAAAGAGGGATAGGACTAGACAAGTGCTTCTGTTTATTACATCAACTCAATTTTTTCACAGGTGAGAGGTACTGTCCCAAGCAGTAAAATGATCCTATATACCCTTACCCCTGGGTTCACATACAGTCATGGCCGAAATTGTTGGCACCCTTGATATTTTTCCTGAAAATCAAGTATTTCACACAAAAAAGGTATTGCATTAACACATGTTTTGCTATACACATGTTTATTCCCTTTGTATGTATTGGAACAAATATAAAACAGAGGCAGAAAAGCAAATATGACATAATGTCACACAAAACCCCAAAAATGGGCTGGACAAAAGTATTGGCACCCTTAACTTAATATTTGGTTGCACACCCTTTGGAAAACATAACTGAAATCAGTCGCTTCCTATAACCATCAATAAGCTTCTGACACCTCTCACCCGGAATTTTGGACCACTCTTCCTTTGCAAACAGCTCCAGGTCTCTCTTATTGGAAGGACACCTTTTCCCAACAGCAATTTTAAGATCTCTCCACAGGTGTTCAATGGGATTTAGATCTGGGCTCATTGCTGGCCACTTCAGAACTCTCCAGCGCTTCTTTGCCATCCATTTCTGAGTGCTTTTTGACGTATGTTTGGGGTCATTGTCCTGCTGGAAGACCCAGGATCTTGGACGCAAACCCAGCTTTCTGACACTGGGCCCTACAGTGCGACCCAAAATCCTTTGGTAATCCTCAGATTTCATGATGCCTTGCACACAGTCAAGGCACCCAGTGCCAGAGGCAGCAAAACAACCCCAAAACATCATTGAACCTCCACCATATTTTACCGTAGGTACTGTGTTTTGTTCTTTGTAGGCCTCATTCCGTTTTCGGTAAACAGTAGAATGATGTGCTTTACCGAAAAGCTCTATCTTGGTCTCATCTGTCCACAAGACGTTTTCCCAGAAGGCTTTTGGCTTACTCAAGTACATTTTGGCAAACTGTAGTCTTGCTTTTTTATGTCTCTGTGTCAGCAGTGGGGTCCTCCTGGGTCTCCTGCCATAGCGTTTCATTTCATTTAAATGTCGACGGATAGTTCGCGCTGACACTGATGCTCCCTGAGCCTGCAGGACAGCTTGAATGTCTTTGGAACATGTTTGGGGCTGCTTATCCACCATCCGGACTATTCTGCGTTGCAATCTTTCATCAATTTTCCTCATCCGTCCACGACCAGGGAGATTAGCTACAGTGCCATGGGTTGCAAACTTCTTGATAATGTTGCGCACTGTGGACAAAGGCAAATCTAGTTCTCTGGAGATGGACTTGTAACCTTGAGATTGTTGATATTTTGCCACAATTTTGGTTCTCAGGTCCTCAGACAGTTCTCGTCTCCTCTTTCTGTTGTCCATGCTTAGTGTGGCACAGACAGACACACAATGCAAAGGTTAAGTGAACGTCTCTCCTTTTTATCTGCTTTCAGGTGTGATTTCTATATTGCCCACACCTGTTACTTGCCCCAGGTGAGTTTACAGGAGCATCACATGCTTGTAACATTCTTATTTATCCGCAGTTGTGAAAGGGTGCCAATACTTTTGTCCAGCCCATTTTTGGAGGTTTGTGTGACATTATGTCGAATTTGCTTTCTTTCCTCCCTTTTTTTGTTTTGTCCCAATACACACAAAGGGAATAAACATGTGTATAGCAAAACATGTGTTAATGCAATACGTTTCGTGAGAAATACATGATTTCCTGGAGAAATATCAAGGGTGCCAACAATTTCGGCCATGACTGTATATGCGGATGGGCGGGCAGCGTTTTGCGTGGGCATGAGAGCCCATTCATTTGAATGGACTCCCGTGCCATGCCGGGAAGAAGTCCCTGCACTTCTTCTGAAAACCTCGGTTCCTAGTACGGGTGCATTTTCCAGTGCGGGCGGCGTGCCATTAGAACTAATAGCACCCGCCCACAGGTCCGCATTCATCTGTGCATGGATTTTCATGAGGATCCACAGCCGAACTACCCGTACATATGAGAACCTAGCTTTAAGGGCTTGTATTGATGTGCTGAATGCTTTCAGGGGCATTCAGCCTGCTTTAGAGATCAGTTTGCAATAAGTCAAGTGCTTCACAGGTACTCCTGAGCTGCACTGAGTTGGATTTGCTTACTGGACCTGTTTTGTCTTTTGATTTGTATTGGGAGAAAAGGAACTTTGATGCAATTAAATGCCCTTTATACAAGCCCTATTTCTGGTTTCCAGAGTCCTTGATTTTAAATCTTTTCTCACACACGTCAATACTGCCTAATCATTGTGTCAATACAGCTTATTGTGTCATAATTGATTTTGTTATGCATGTCAAATGAAGATATTTGCCTCTGAAGACAAACCCCTAGTAACAAGAGGAAACAAAAACAAAAAATGTTAGAGGAGGGGTTTCCAATAAAGGTGACAGTAGGCAACATACAGTATGTCTCACGATTTTTGTCAGGCCTCTTACATTGAAATGTTTAAAATGTCTCAAAGGTTTGCTTTCAATCAGCCTTTAATACTTGTACTGAATGCATGCAGGACTGTAAAAATATTTAGGGCCTATTAAAATTTGTACTTTCCTGCAAGGAAAAAAAATAAAAAACAAAAAAACACATAGTACACTGTGTGCAAAACTATAAGAAAGTGAGTATTTTGACCAAATCATCATTTTTTAGGCATATTGTCCAACTCCAAGCTGTATAAACTTGAATGTGTATTGGATTTAAGCATATCAGGTGATGTGCATTTGTGTAATGAGGGAGGATGTGGCCTAGGGTTGCCGCCTCATCTCTTTAAAACCAAAGATTAATTACACAGGTTCTGAGGCTAATTTAATGCAGATAACGCACTAAAGTGAGTTTAATTACCACCTTAATCAGCCACAGAACCTGTGTAATACGTGTTTGGTTTTAATGGGATGAAGTGGCAACCCTAGTTTGGCCTTAGGAGATTTAACTGACTCTCAGAAGTCAAAAATTGTAAAAAAAAAAAAAAAAAAAAAAAAAAATAAGTCTTTGAGAGGGACGCAGCACAATTGCTAAAATTTTGGGGGGTGATCACAGAACCAAACATTTTGTTGCAAATAGTCAACAGGTTCACAAGAAACGCATGGAGAAAAAAAGAAAAAAATAGATGCGTTTGAAATAAAAAAATCAAACGTGAAGCTACCAGGAACTCATTATCCTCCAGTGCTGTCATATTCAAGAATTGCAACCTACCTGGATTGCCCAGAAGTACAAGGTGTTCAGTGCTCAGAGACATGACAAAAGGTAAGGAAAGTTGAAACCTGACCACCACTGAACAAGACACATAGGTTGAAACATCAAGACTGGACCAAGAAATATCTGAAGACAGATTTTTCAAAGGTTGTATGGACTGGTGAGAGAATGACTTGACAGACCAGATGGATGGGCCCGTGGCTGGATCAGTAACGGGCACAGAGCTCCACTTCGACTCAAGACGCCAGCAAGGTGGAGGTGGGGTACTGATATGGGTTGGTATTATTAAAGATAAGCTAGCTGGACCTTTTCTGCTTGAAGATGGGCTCAAAATCAACTCCCAAACATATTGGCAGTTTTTAGAAGACACTTTCTTTAAGCAGTGGTACAGGAAAAAAAAAAGTTTCTTTCAAGAAGACCATAGTTTTGCAGGACAATGCTCCATTGCATGCATCAAAGTACTGCATGGCTAGCCACTAAAGGCCTTAAAGATGAAAGAAAAATGACATTGCCCCCCTCCTCACCTGACCTAAACCCTATTGAGAACTTGTGAGCCCTTCTTAAACAGGAGATTTCTGGTGAAGGAAAACAGTACCTCTCTGAACAGAGTCTGGGAGGCTGTGGCTGCTGCACAAAAAGTTGATAGTCAACAGATCAAGAAACACCCTGAATGGAAGGCTTGTGACTGTTATTCGAAAGAGGCTAGATTGGTCGTGGTTTTTTTTTTTTGGTTTGTTGTTATAATTTGAAATGTCAGAAATCTTTGCAAATTTAGTTTTTTTTTATTATTATTCTCACTTTAACCACTTACCCTCCTGAGGATTTACCCCCCTTTCTGACCAGCCCATTTTTGGTGTTACTTTAACTGACAATTGCACAGTCATGCAACACTGCACCCAAATTAAATTTACATGCTTTTCCCCCCCCCCCACAAATTGAGCTTGCTTTCGGTGGTAGTTTCACCTGGGAGTTTATTTTTTGTGCGATTTAAAAAAAAAAAAAAAAAGAAGAACTGGCAATTTACAAACAGTTATCCACATTGGAGATGCTCGGCAATCACTGGGCGCATGCGAGTAATCAATGGCCGGGGCTCGATGACTGAAAGGGGGTAGGGCGTGTGTACACACATACATATACACACACAGGTGAAACTAAAAAAATGTGAATATCGTGCAAAAGTTCATTTATTTCAGTAATGCAACTTAAATGGTGAAACTAATATATGAGAGAGACTCATTACATGCAAAGCAAGATAGGTCAAGCTGTGATTTCTCATAATTGTGATGATTATGGCTTACAGCTCATGAAAACCCAAAATCCACAATCTCAGAAAATTAGAATATTGTGAAAAGGTGCAATATTCTAGGCTCAAAGTGTCCCACTCTAGTCAGCTAATTAAGCCATAACACCTGCAAAGGGTTCCTGAGCCTTTCAATGGTCTCTCAGTCTGGTTCAGAAGGAATCACAAATATGGGAAAGACTGCTGACCTGACAGTTGTGCAGAAAACCATCATTGACACCCTCCATAAGGAGGGAAAGCCTCAAAAAGGTAATTGCAAAAGAAGTTGGATGTTCCCAAAGTGCTGTATCAAAGCACATTAATAGAAAGTTATGTAGAATGGAAAAGTGTGGAAGAAAAAGGTGCACAAGCAGCAGGGATGACCACAGCCTGGAGAGGATTGTCAGGAAAAGGCCATTCAAAAGTGTTGGGGACTTTCACAAGGAGTGGACTGAGGCTGGAGTCAGTGCTT